TCTCAAGAGCGCCCAGATTTACTTCTCCTCTGAGGCAAGCAAAATTCAGGGAGACAAGTGATGTGCAGTTCTCTGGAAAGCAGCTAAGCCAGTAATTACTATGGTCGTCAATTTCATTCTCTTGCAGGTCCAGCTCCCTCAGATACCTAACCCGATCGAAAACAAACACATCACAATGAGGTAATCTCGTTACCGGAATACCCGATGAATGGTTCCTACTATTATCAATCTACCATTCTTAGAACAAACACACAGTAGTACCAACTGACAGCATAATCTATAAAACTAGCTCCAAAGTCAAACTTAGAAACAACACAACAGACCATCCATACTTGTAATGCTCAGTTCAGACAGAAAGAAAACGGCATATAAAACCAACATAGAGCAGATTTATTTCATTATAGCCAAATAGAGAAAGTTCAACAGATTCCTAAACAGAATAGAAAAGGGGGTTTTTTTTACCTGCAATTGGAAGCAATGGCTGCAAGGCCATTGGTGGTGAATCCTTCACAGCTGAAGAGGAACAGGGACTTAAAATGGGGGAAGGATCGGGATAGGAGCTCGAGGCTGTCGTCGGAAACAACCATCCGCTTGAGGCGGAGCTCCTCGAGGGCGATCCGACGCTTGGCGAAGACTTGGATCCAAGGGTAAACGAAGCCGCCCCAATCATGAGGGACCAAATTGAAATCAGCGAAATGGGGCTTCCCCTTCAAGGTTAGGGATTTGACGGCCGGGAATCTGCCGATGAGTCTCTCCGGCGTGATCGCATAGCAATTTCCGACGAAGACTTTCTGCCTGCTAAATCTCTCCACTCTGTACCATAATTTGCACACCAGCGACACCGCGTTCCGGTCCCGGTGAGACGTAACGTAGTCGAAAACATGTTCCAGAACCTCGTCGGGAAAATAATTCATCGTTTCTCAGCATCCAAACGGAAAATTCCCCCGAACTTTCCAGGAAAAATAAAGGATAAAAATGGACGCAACTTTCCCCAGGGAAAGGAAAAAAGAAGGAAAAACTTTCTGAAGAACAATATATTTAACCCAACAAAAAAATAAAAACTAAAAAAACAAGAGAAAAAGAAAAACTTCCTTTATCCAGCACTATTACATACCGGAAAAAAAAAGCTCGTGAAGCCCTGAAAAAAGAAAGAAACTCATAAACAATAACCCGGAAGAAAAACTTGGGAGGAATTGAAGCAGATCTCCAATGGATTCTCTAGGGGAATTTGAAATCCGCAGCGAAGTTGACAGATCCAAGGAACAGAAGAGAATATAGCAACAAATCTTGCATCCCGACCAGTTCAAAAACCTAGATCTGCAACGAAAGAAGACAGAAGAAGAGAAAAATTGCAGAGAGAGAGAGATTGGGGGAGCGAGAGCGGCAGAGGAAGTCGAATATTCGGCAGAAGAAACCAAAAACAGAAAGGAAATTGCCGCAGTGGTAGAAAATGGAGGAGAAGACGAAACAATTTCAGCCGATTGTCCGCATATATATATAAAAATGACGATGATGAAACGATTAGATCCT